GAAACCGAACCCGTATATATGTGCATGAGCTAACGATTCTAAGTCATTTGCGTCTGGCTGTGCTCGTGTGAAGTCAGGAGGAAAGATCGTCTTTCACGAGTGACTGCAAGGCAAAAGGCAGTCATGTCTCCCCTCGTCTTCTGTCCGTTCGTACTTTTATTGTTGTCTAATGTTGTCATGAATTCTCATGCACGGCGCGAGAATGGATCCTGCGTGGCAACGTTCTTGGAAGAGGCAGGCATTTCCAGTGTGAAAGCTGCGGATTACGAGGCTAAATATGCGCAACAGGGACTGCAAGCGGACAACATTGCCTCCACTCGACGTGCTCTCGTACCTGTTATCGGCATCAGTAACCCGTCGGACGTTGTCCAACTTCTACATTGTTTTTCAGTGCCGAATACATCGTGCGCTACATACCGATTTTGCAGTGGAAAAGGTCAGTGTGTGCTGAAACCGTCCACCACACCGTCTTATGAATGTTCCTGTCAGGCTGGTTACTATGGCGATGAATGTCAGAATGACATGTGTCTGGAGGATGGAAGTGACTCTACCTGCCAAAATGGCGGAACATGTTTTCGTATCTCCGCTGCTCCGTTCTACCGTTGCAAGTGTGCAGAGAATTACGTAGGAGAGCGGTGTGAAAGAGCTAAAGATCACTGCAGTCCTCATAATCCTTGCGCTCATGGAGGCAGATGTCGTAGCTTGAAAGCTGATTTCCTCTGTGAATGTCCTAGAGGTCACGTGGGAAGAACATGCCAGGACCATCTACTCACAAGGCAAGAAATGGATAAAAGTTTCGAAACACTGGAGAGAGCTTTATTGCATCGAATGGACAGTCTCGAGAGCAGACTTCTCAACCAAGGCGAGAAGACATCGGAGGCAACGACCTTCACAGAAGAGTTCACCTCAGTGCCGACTACATCTTCATCAGAGGCGTCCACTCCCTCAGTCCAGGCGGCAGTTACGCTAACCACGCTGCGCTTTGTAGAGGAGTTCGGAAATTGGTATAGAGCGAAGGAGAGATGTGCGTCCCTTGGTGGAGTTCTTGCTGTACCCCGCAATGCCAGTGAACAAGACATTCTGCGAAGATTGACGGGTCATATTGATCGTTCTAGCTATATATGGCTTGGTGCGTCGGATTTGGAAGAAATGGGCATTTGGAGGAGGGTTGCAGATAACGTTACCTTAGACTACGTCCCTTGGGCGAGCAGTCAACCAAATAATAACAATGAACGATGCCTGGCTCAACGACACGCGTATGGGTGGTATGACAGACCCTGCGGAGGCAGTAGGTCCCAGAGTGTCAGGGATGTAGGGTTCTTATGCCGCTTGCCCTGATGAATTTATTTTTTTATCCTGCACGCCATGCACTTCACTCGTCACATTCCACAGTAGCAGCGGCCTTGAACTACTACATCGGTGACATGTATGCAGCAAACACAGGAAAGAGAAAGAAGACCCTCTGACAGCTGAAGTAACCATTCATTCAAAGTGATACGCCAGGAACTGATCATCAAGTAGTACTGTTAGTTATACATGTACATGTACATGTAGTACTTCAATAGCACTATCATGTTATGCCGTTTTTATTAGCACCGTTAGTACACGTATATGCCAGTTTAGCACTATCATGCCAGTTTAGCACTATCACGTCAATTTGGCACTATTACTACAATCGTGGACATGTATGTCAGTTTAAACGGCCCTGCAACATTGCAGGCTAATGGTCCATTGCTACGCGAACACCAGTAGACATAGTGTTTTCTAACCACTAACATGCACAACCCGCCATTACACTATGCACAGCTGCCTGACACCTTTTAAAAAGACCTACATTCACGCTTCGCAGTCCAGCGTACAGAGTGTGTGTTACCCGCTATTGCCTCACCACATCGGTACGTACCCGCAATTCTCAACTCTCACTTGACTGCCCAATCCTTTTCATTCTTTCCTTTTTTTTCTTTTGCGCTTGCTGTAGTTCTGTGCGTGTGTTGCAGTGATCTGTTTGACCCATCCTCTCTGACTGCGCTTAATTACATGTATGTTGCTGGACTATTGTCAGCATTGACTACGACAGTCCTATTGTTCTAATGTCTGCAGCGCTGCCTGCTTTGCTAGAATTGTCTTGGACTTGCGTGCGACGTTAGATCTGTTCAAGGGCTAGGTACGATGGGCCTACGAGCTGAAAACAGTAATTGTACCTCTGAGCATGAACAATCAATTCTAGGCCATTTTGCGTATGGCTGTGCGCGTGTAAAGGTCGGATAAGTGAACATCTTTCACGAGTGAATGCAAGACCAAAACCAGTCATGTTTCCCCTCGTCTACTGTGCGTTCGGACTGTTACTGTTGCATGTTAGGTGCATGCGTGAATTCACATGCACGCAGCACAGCCTGAGAATGGCTCATGTGTGAAAACGTTCTTGGAAGGAGCAGGTATTTCCAGTGTGAAATCTGCGCCGGACTACGATACTAAAAATATGCGCAACATGGACTGCAAGCGGACAGGATTGCCTCCACTCGACTTGCTCTCGTACATGGTTATCAGCATCAGCAACCAGTGTACATACTTTCACCCACTAAGACACTAAGACTGCGATCATCAGAAAACAATAATGAGTATATCTGGATCATTATTAGTATCAAGAGTCCGCTCTTGTTAGTATCAAGAGTCCACTCTTGTTAGTATCAAGAGTCCACTCTTGTTAGTATCAAGAGTCCACTCTTGTTAGTATTCATTACTTGTTCTAATACATGTATATACCCACATAGCAAAGACTAGTGTAATCGACAGCATCATGGCGCAAATCTAAAAGGTGCGAATTTTATTAATAAGCTTTACGATGTCTAACGGGTTTCGCTGTGCATGTAAATTCATGCATGCACTAGTATCAGCCCGAGCGAACAGTAGACGAGGGGAAACGAGACTGTCCTGTGAGTGGGTCTTGCATTCACTCCGGAAAGATGTTCTTTTCTCCCAACTAATGTGTTACTTTTCACTAGCACAGCCATAAACAAATGAACACTGTAGAATCGTTCGTTCATACTCACATGTACGGGTACAGCTTTCAGGTCGTAACGCCATATTTGAGAGGTTAAGATGCACGTAATTTCTGACGTGACGCGAAAGTTCAGCTCGCGTTATTTGCTCACGCGCCGAAAAATCAACGCGAGTGACCTGCTGCTCACGTCGAAATTTGGAGTTTTACGCCAAATTTGACATGAAATTGCGCGTCACGTCGGAAATAACGTGCATCTTAACCTCTCTATTTCCTACTGTACATTGCAGCACATGAGCAGAGATACAAAGTGTTGTGCACTTGTCAAAAACCATAACATTGCACAGGATGGTGCACATGTAGCAAGCAATAATAGTATTAATACAGACTCCCACAGAAACATTCCAAAATCAAAGGAGAGCGTATCGAAGTTGCTTTTTAAAAAGGCCCATCAGCTGAAAACGTTTCCTTGGGGACAAAAATCTATACTAGTACATTAGCACTCGCAGGCTCTTCAACAACATGGCTTTCACAAGTACACTTTCGTGCCCTCTCTTCAGGTGAAATACAGGCAGGAGCAAACATAATTATTATTTTCATTGTTCTTGCTCTTGTTTCATATGCCTCAGTTGACATTGATTGACAACTTGACACAAACCGTAGTGTCGGTTAGGTACTAGCGACTTGAGGTATGAGCGCGAACGGTCGTCCATAACTGATTAGTTCTGTAATACCAGTGCCAGGGGCACGAATCGCCCAGTACAGTACGACCATTGGTCCGTGATCAGTCCTGGAAATCGCCTAGTTAGGACAATGTGTATGTACGGGTCCCACGTGATGAAAACATTACGTCAGAAGGAGAAATATAACGCCAAGGCGGAGCTGGACCCTGTCTCACAGCACGCGGTGGTCATAACAAAAGGGAAAATGAACTTTTTTTCAAAAAATCTCCGTTCCTTTCCTTTCGTCCAGCATTTGTTTTACTTCCGTTTTTGATTGTACAATGTCACTCAACGCCTCATCCCCGTCGACTCGTAAGAGAAAGATAACTGGCTATCGCCGACAAAGTCAAGCGCCTGAGCTGCCTCAGCAAACGTAAAAATGGCTTGATTCGAGCGGTAAGTATCCTCTATCCTCTACCTTGTTGTACATTGCGAACTTTCACCTGATAAGTTTCTTGTGTTTACATCTTTGTGTTGACGCAGGGCATGGAGCTTCATGAAGCTACACACGCCAAAGTGCTAGTTCTGGTGATATCTCCATCAGGTGTTGAGCACCTATAGGCTATATAGCAGCAGTCCGGTAGACGACTTCTTTCCAGCAATTAAAAAATCGAATTCCCCACCTCCTGCCCCTACAACTTTGTTTGTTTTCTGGGAGTGGGCTAGGTGGGGCAGGTACGGACGTCCTTGCTGGTGCATACAGCTCGTGCTGGACGACTTCTGGCTTGCAGTCGGCCACAGCTCTGCACCCTCTGCAGATCGAGGAAACAGGACGTCGAGCAATACTGGAGAGGACGTTCAGCACAGCCCTTCTCGTTATAGTGTTGGCGGACGAGGAAGGGCTTTCACAATCCGAATGGAAGGGTTAGGACAAGAGTAGTGTCCAGGAGTAACACTAACTCTACGCTTAGAGCGCCGCGTCTGGATACCACTCTTCTTCATTGCCTCAGCTCAATAAACTACGACAAACTGTGATAAATTCGTTCCAAGCGATCTATTTTCTTCACTTTTTGAAAAATCGGCACATGAAAGTGAATTTTTTTTTCACTGGATATCTCAAGGAGTCCTATTACTCTCATCTCCGCATGCACAGAATCTCCGCAACTCAGCAGGTTTTTCCGCATTGGACATGCAAGGGAAAGAAATTTGCTGATTCACGGTGCTTACAAATCCATGTTCACTTTGTGCAGGAAAAAATATGACGCTTGCAGACGCGTACGCACCGTACGTGATTTCCAAGGAAACCTCCGATGCCCTAACTAGGCGATTTCCCAGACCTGGTGATTGATTACCTCTATGACCGTGTAAAGGGGTGGTGTAAAGAGATGCGTCAGGACAGTCATGGTCTGATGACTTAAGCATCGAAGCACAGCAGCAGCAGTATAGCAGCTGCAGCAGCAATAATAACAACAGCAAACATAGAGAGGAGGACAGGCCAGGACACACAACGAGGAGCAGGAATGGTAAAAAAAACGGGTAAAAGGCTGAACATTATACACAAACGCATTTCCCCAGAAAGAGTGAGAAAAACGGGGAAAAAATTAGTTAGAAATTTTACAGATTGCCGGCCGGCGGGGATGTTAGCTGAAGCATGAAGAGAGATGAGCAAGAACCAGGGAGTAGTAGTAAAACACCGGTATTTTACTACTCCTGGCGAGAACAGCAGCAGCAGGATGCAATATCATGGTTAGTGGAATTACCGGGTACTAGTGCCCTGCCTAGGCCCACAGGCACTGGGCAGCAGGCCAGCAGCCGAGCACCACCACCAGCGAGAGCTGGCTGAACGCACAGTGACTTGGAAACGTAACCGGACGATGCGCACAGGGCAGGGCACGGTGCCCCGGGGAGGGAGATGATTGGATCAAGAACTCGAAGGCTGAACAAACAAGGCCACATTAGAGCGGGACGAGGTGGAATGTAGAACAAGGTGCCGCACACAGTGGATACCAGGGAGTCGGTATTAATACGACTCCCTGGTGGAAACAAATGTATTCGTATTATAGAAGCATGAACACCACACATAGAGAAATGTTAAGCCAGGGTTTGGTCAGTCCGTGGCGCACAGAGAATGTTAAGCCAGCGTGTCGTGCGTCCACAGCACATGCAGATATGCTAAGCCCCAGGGTATTGTGAGGCCACGGCACACAGAGAATGTCTTTTAAAAGGTCGGGTGTCGTGGGTCCGCGGCACGCAGAGAAAGCTGAGCAAGGGTGTTGTGGGTCCACAGCACAAACAGATTCGCTCAGACAGGGCGTTGTCAGTCCACGATACGCACAGAAGGTTTAGCCAGCCTGCCGTGCGTCCACAGCACACACACACACACACACAGAATGCTTGGCAAGAGAGTGGCGTGCGTCCACAACGCACAGAGAATGTTTTAAAGACGGGGTGTCGTCCGTCAACGGCACATAAAAATGTGCTAAACGAGGGTGTGGTCAGTCCACGGCACACACACAGAGCGCTGGGCAAGAGAGTGGTGTGCGCCCACAACACACAGGGAATGTTAAGACAGGGTGTCATAAGTCCACACAGCACATACAGATAACACTAAACGAGGGTGCCGTCCGTCAACGGCACACACAGATATGCTAAACAAGGGTCTGGTCAGTCCACGGCACACACACACAGACAGAGGGCAAGTGAGTGGCGCGAGTCCACGGCACGACGGCCAGCGTTGCACGGGCACAACGCTTGCACGCGCTCTTGTTATTCCCAGTACGGGTAGGCCTTGCTGCGGTCGTCCACTTGGAACTGCGCCTGGCGCAATCGCGGAATGGCACCTGGACAGCAGCACGTGTGCAAACACATGAGTATACAAACAAGTGACTATATAAACTAGGGCTGAAACGATTATACCAATGACTGAAAGACATGTATAATATAACGAGGAAGTAAATCTAACGTTTTAACTAGGGGTGAAACGATTCGGGTAAGGAATTGGTTTTGGAAATGCCAGCTGAAAAGAATCGGGTACCCGTTCCGTCAAATTTTGAAACGAAATATCGGAAAATCTTGTTCTCTTACAAATACATGTACACGTCAAGTGTACTCAATATTTTACCTTACGATCACCGCTCTTGCAAGGACCAAATGGTTCCCCTGGTCATTATCTTCTTCGCACATGGACTCTCCGATGTCTCGTTCTTGCTCGTAAACATGTTTTCAAAAAAAACTTATTGTCACGAACGCATTTTGTCGGTCTGGAGAAAGGAGTGCATGGAACCGATACCCGAACTGTGGAAAACTATGCTGGCGGTAGGGTACCCGAACATGAAAAACATGGAACCGTTTCACCCCTAGTTTTAACGGATAACATTTCTTCGTTATAATAAGATCCGTTAAGGCCGTACTGCTTCATATAATGTTGTGTGTGGATATGCCGGAATACTGCAAGATCGTTAACATATCTTCTCGTTAACCTACGAATTATGGACAATCGTTAAATTTGCGACTCGTTATAATAACATGGCTTACAGTGCTCGGTAATCGATCGATAATCCCTTTAATAACAGTCAACTAATCATTACGTTCTAGATTACTCGTTAGGGATTTTGGGTCCAAGAAGTATGATGTCAGCCACGTTGGTTCCACTGTCCACACATGATACGATCACTTTCCGCACAAATTTAGTTAAATCAAAAAGATGCGAAGCCATTCTAGTGCTGCTGGATGAGCGAAGATTGCCAACATTTGTGTCTTCAGTGGCCTGACAACACAGTTAGAAAATGGAGCCACTGTGCATACATGATACTAGTACAACCCTCTCGTGCAAGGACTTACGTGATTCCAGGGCGTCTTCAGCTGCTTCCATCTCGGCTGCTTGAATACTGGATAAAATATGCAGAAACATCACAGGCAATAAATAAGATAAAAATTCACACATTGCACTGGTGCAAACTTCGCTTTTTGTACTTGCTGGCTGCTGAATTTCTACCTGAAACCGTAATAGCTACATGTATATAAGTGTGTGTTTTAGTTATTACATTTATATGTGACGGCGTTCCACTGATGACAGTCACAAGAAAACGTTATGGAACTTAACTTTCTTCATTTTTTGCTGTTGTTATGAGTGCACAATTTATCTTATTTATTGCCATTTTACGACTATTGTCTCCTCGTCGATTGTTTAAACATCACGGGGATAAGATTAAAAAATCAAGCCGGTACAGACAAGATGAGTGTGGAGGATTAGCAAGACGAAATTCGCGTTCGTGTTCGCGAACATTTTCGGCCCGCGAACTGGATTGTGAACGTTCGCATTTTTCGTTCGGAAAAGTAGTCGAAACACGAATCGCGGATTCGTGTGAGGACAGTCATAAATTTACTACTCTGTACTGTCTGTACACAATGTACGTCGTGTGAACGTCATGCATGTGCGAATTCTGTTTGCTAATCCTTCTCATAACGCGAATTCTGTCACTGAGTTCGACTTTCCTTGGAGAGCGGACACTAACGCGAATTTCGTCTTGCTAATCCTCCGTACTATCACTGGTATGAGTGACAATGGTCACTTTGTGTGTATTTCTGTTTCATATGGTAAGCCACTTTTAAAGCCACCATACACATTACTCAAACTCAGGAAATAGCACTATTATTATTATCACTCAGGCTGCAATATTCAATGACACATAGACATATTCATAAATGACATATCTTCAATACCCATGACTGCATGAGCTACATTGTATAATAGATAATTATATCATTATATCATCGTTCTAGCTCAATTTCTTTCCCCTGTCATAGTCCTGTTTATCATGTTCAGCATAAGCGAAGTTGTGGATCATGCTTGCATGGTTGACTCCAACGCGTACATGCAAGTAATAATATTAATAATAATAATAATGAAATTGAAGACACCACTGCAGCTGTACTTATGGTTGATAAATATAGCCATGCGATCGACCAGGCGCCAGGCGCGAACTGATGGTGGTGGTGGTGAGAAGGAGAGCTCTGTGCCAGAACTTTGCAGCCTAGAGAGCGTGTGTGGGCAGGCGTGTGTTTACCGCCATATTGCCAGGTGTGTCTTTACCACCATATTTATCAACCATAAGTACAGCTGCAGTGGTGTCTTCAATTTCATTCTCCCGAGTCAAGCTCCGTATGAAGACATCCAAGAAGAAGAAGATTGCCTGATGAGTCCAGCGGGGACGAAACGTACGTCGCAATCGAGCTATGTCGTTGCTGTGTCATCATCTATGTGCCATGCGCTACTTGATATACCAGCCTGCTATGCCGGATACCGCCAGCCATGCGATCGACCAGGCGCCAGGCGCGAACTGATGGTGGTGGTGGTGAGAAGGAGAGCTCTGTGCCAGAACTTTGCAGCCTAGAGAGCGTGTGTGGGCAGGCGTGTGTTTACCGCCATATTGCCAGGTGTGTCTTTACCACCATATTTATCAACAATAATAATAATAATTGTAGAAGAGAAAAGGACATATGGATACGAGTTAAGAGTAACTCTCCATCACTGTAACTGGATACTATATACAGTCAGAAAGTGCAATAACTAGGCACACAACTGACAGAGTACTGAAACATTCGACGTCCTGACACCTAGCTTCAACACATCTCCGTAGCGCTAACCGACAGCCTTCCAAGTTGGAAGGTTAGCGCTACGGAGATGTGTTGAAGCTAGGTGTCAGGACGTCGAATGTTTCAGTACTCTGTCAGTTTTGTGCCTAGTTATTGCACTTTCTGACTGTATATAGTATCATGTTACAGTGATGGAGAGTTACTCTTAACTCGTATCCATATGTCCTTTTCTCTTCTACATTTATTTATGGCTCAACATCCGAGTTTCAAATAATAATACACATTGCTGTAAACTGCCTAATGTTTGCCACGTAATAATGCTTGCTATTTTTTTTGCGAGAAGGGCAAAACGCAAATATTACCCATCGTGAAATCAAACTTCAACAGTGGCTGTACATGTGTTGCCACAGTGCTCCGCAAACATTTGCCATTGTAAACCCACTGGTTTTGAGAGATTGCAAAAATTCAGTGACGCTAACATTGGGCGGTTTACAGTATACGGAATTAATTAAGATGCGTAGGGAATATTCTAAATTCACGGTAGCGTTTTGCTAGAGTAGGACAAACGTACCTGTGCCCTGAGCCAACTCCGATACGCTTGCCTCGGAAAAACACGCCAACTGTAACGGTAGAAGGAAAACGACAAAAAAACACTATGATTCATTGCTGCAGCGTTTCATTCAGTTTGTCCATTCACAGTAGTGATTGGCTCTTCATTCGACCAGATTGGTGAGGTATCCACGCGAGTATCTGCGAGTCTCGAGCGGTCTTGTTCGGTGAACTGAAGAACTACACTCATCATGCCTTGGTTATCCGGACAACGAAGTTACGGGCACTCCAGTCTACTGGGGCACCCTTTGGGCCAAATAATACTACTCTTTTGTCACTTTTTGTGGAAATATTGACGTCTTGATATATGCCATATCTGTGGCCTTCGCCATCAAAATGAATGTGATGCAGAGTCGCGGACAGTGCCCAGTCCCGGATGTATGTGATTCGGAGTCGCGGACAGTGCCCAGTCCCGGACCACCCGGATAAGTGAGGTATGTGTGTACTACTAGTACTAACCAATACATGGTTGATGCAGTCATATACCGATGTGCAGCAACATCTCGTGAAGAGCAGCAGAACCCATGCATGCATGGTGTGTGCAAGTCTAGGGAGTGCCTTTGCAGCATGTGCCATGACAACAGCATGACGTAATCGCATGACGTAATCACGAGTCATGAACAGGAACTGCACGGGACGACAGTGTGGGCACCGAGTGTGTACAAGTCTAGAAGTACCTTGTCCCAGATGTGTCCGTACGAGCACGCAATGGTAAGTAACCATTATATCATTACACTCGCAAGGCTTACCTGTGAAAATCTTCTTGTGCGATGGCCCGCGCTCCTCCAGTTGCCTGCGGATAACAGGCAATGTATACAGATGGTATAAGAATGTGGAATACAGTAAACAAGCATGGAGCGGTATGAAACGGGTCAGCACCACAAAGCAATGGAGGTAAGCAGTGCAAACACTGTTGTTAGCTCAAGCGCCAACAAATACACCCACACCCACGCATGCACACACGCATAGTATACCCATCCATCCATCCATCCACTCAACCACCCATCCATATACTCACCCGCCCACCAACGCACGCGCAAGCAGACTTGCATGTACAAACGTGGGCACACCTCAGACCTCAGACATGCCCATCGCGGAAGCGATGATAGCGAACAGCTATGTTAGACATAGCAACTTGTGCTGGGATTACACCATTCAACAGCTTGCAAGGCTGATGAATTGACCGCCACTATTTTTAGCCTGGTATCCACCACACAGCTGTTTGAAGTGACTTTTTCTGGCCAGTGAATCCCTATTTTTCATTTTTCCATTTTTTTCTACACACACACCACACCACATACTCCGGCATACACTGGCTGTTGGTAACCACCCAGGAGAATGAAAGAAAAGTCAGGAAGAGTCTGAGAAAGAGAAGAAAGACGTGTGTGACCATAATCGTCGGGAATCGAACCCGCAACCTATCGATTCACACACACACACACACACACACACACACACACACACACACACACACACACACACACACACAAACGTACACACACCATGTACCATGTATACGCCCGTCACAAGAGACGCACGCAAATCTGCAAATGGACTGGATATGCAACCACAAAATTTCTCACATACGCACACACACACACACACACACACACACACACACACACACACACACACAAACACACACACACACAAACACGAACACACACACACACACACACGATTCCAAGACTCACCGATACGTGGGCATGGTGCTGGGTTGGTTATGGCGTCGCAGAGTCATTGCACTCTGCTGTAGCTTGCTCTTGGGATCAATCCAGTCACGCTTCTCTATCATATCCTAAACAGCAGTACCAGACAAAGAACATCTCAGAGCGGTGAACCAACAAACGGACATGCCAGTAGCAGGGTGCCTGCATTACTGCACACAATCTTCGACTAAGGCACATCCTCGCTGCCTGCCGATTACATACAGCCCTTTCCTCGCTGCATGGCCAATGTTTGCAAGCCAGTGACGCTGCACTGGTTAAAGAAAGCCAGGCGTGTGAATATAGCGCATGCGGCCAGCCTGCAGCATCATGATTATGATTATCCTTGCTATCTGCTGGACCATAGTTGGTGGCTCTGCCGAAACTGCCGATGACCCTGCGTCACCATAATATGCCGACTCAAGGTCATCGGGATTATGTTTGGTGGGGGGGGGGGGGGGGGGGGGTGCAGTGATATTATCACTGCAACCCCCACCACCCACACACCCCAGTACTTACAGGTAGTCTGGGGAAGAGGACGGTGTTGCACACTTCCACGGCTAGTTTCATACCGCGGTCCAGACACAGCGCAGCCAGGAAAGCTGTGCACAGACAACACAAGACGGCACAGTCAACTTTGCTGATAACGACAATTCGCGACTAACGACAGAATTTCCACGCCCAGAGCAAAGTCCCATCCAACTGTGAAATATAATTATAATGAGACTTCGGGTATAACGACACTTCGCGAATAAGGACACTTTTCTGATGCTCTGCTGAGTGTCGTTATAAGCGAAGTTGTCTGTGATCAGAAACAAAAAAGCACAGGGGTAAAACAAATAACTACCGTATTTCCCCGTAAGTTAGTACGTACTAACTTTCGAAGTTAGCAGCCACATGAGTACTAATTTTCGGGGGTGGTACTATCTTTCGGGGAGTACTTTTTTATCGGGGGTAAATGACACGCAGTGGGAAGCCTGCGCAACTCTAGTGTCCGTGCATATGATGTATGCACTGTACGGTGTCTGTACATGTAGGACGGGTACGAACTTACTATCTTTCGGGGGGAGCTGTCTTTCGGGGTGATAACCTCGGCAGTGGAAAGTGTATTTTTATAGGGGGGTTCTAAGTCATCGGGGAGAACTAACTTACGGGGAAATACGGTAGTGGTGTGCACGGGTAGTCGGGTACCCGTGCTACCCGTAAGGACCTCGGGCAGACGGGTGCAGAATAGTACCCAAAACCCCGCAGTCGCAGATGACATCACATACAGTGCACGTGTACAAATTCATGTAATACTCCGCATGTCTACCCAGTGTGTAAGAGATGGGGTGCAGTGTGGTGTTACCATGGAAACATTATCCGATAGGGTACCCGTCCTACCAGTGGAAAACTACCCGAACCCGATACCCGAAGAAAATGCTACCCGACTCAGCCCTACAAATAACCACAGGGGCTTTGTGCACATTTTTGGGCAGACCGGCAGAGACACAGAGAGAGAAAGAGAGAGAGAGAGAGAGAAAGAGAGAGAGAGAGAGAGAGAGAGAGAGAGAGAGAGAGAGAGAGAGAGAGAGAGAGAGAGAGAGAGAGAGAGAGAGAGAGAGAGAGAGAGAGAGAGAGAGAGAGAGAGAGAGAGAGAGAGAGAGAGAGAGAGAGAGAGAGAGAGAAGGGAGGCATAGAGTGAAAGAGAGACAATCAGCAGGTGATCGTGCAGGTAAAGAAGTCAAGACCAGAGTGCCCAGAAAGTATCTTACCTTCAAACAGATCAGCCAGAAGCTTTGTCTTGGCATTCATTTTCTACAGGTTGGCATAATCGTTGCAAAGCACATCACAGCGTGTTTCAAATCAGTGATGTAGTGTAAAACACAAACACACGCACACACACACGCACACACACACACACACACGCACACACACACACACACACACGCACGCACACACACACACGCACACACACCACATACACACACACACACACACCACATACACACACACACACACACCACATACACATACACACACACACACACACACACACACACACACACACACCACATACACACACACACACACACCTCAGACCTCAGACCTCAGACCTGCCCATCGCGGAAGCGATGATAGCGAACAGCTATGTTAGACATAGCAACTTGTGCTGGGATTACACCATTCAACAGCTTGCAAGGCTGATGAATTGACCGCCACTATTTTTAGCCTGGTATCCACCACACAGCTGATTGAAGTGACTTTTTCTGGCCAGTGAATCCCTATTTTTCATTTTTCCATTTTTTCTTTTTTTTCTTTCTTTTCTTTTTTTTCTACACACACACACCACACCACATACTCCGGCATACACTGGCTGTTGGTAACCACCCAGGAGAATGAAAGAAAAGTCAGGAAGAGTCCGAGAAAGAGAAGAAAGACGTGTGCGACCATAATCGTCGGGAATTGAACCCGCAACCTCTCGATTGGAATGCACATACCAATGCACCATATGGACACACACACACACACACACACACACACACACACACACACACACACACACACACACACACACACCACATACACACACACACACACACACACACACACACATATGCACACAGGCACACACACACACAGGCACACGCACACACACAACAACAATGACATCAACACACTAGTTGTGGTCAAGGGACACACGCGCACACACATGCACACACACACATACACACCATCACACACTAGTTGCGGTCAAGAAAGTGCTGGCCAGCGGAGTGAGAGGTAGGAGCAAGCCGGTAGTCAAGCTTGAGAGACTGAGGGTGGTGGTGGTGGGGTTGGGGGGGGGGGGGGGGGGGGGATGGAGGGAGTCCATGCAGATGGGTATACTCACAAATTTCTCAAAACTCGTTGCACGATGGTGGGCTTGGAAAATCGGGGGGGGGGGGGGGGGGGGAGTTGTCCGGGCTATGGGAAATTGTATGTGTACCCGCCTGGTTACTGTATCCCCCAAAGGGGCATACTCACAGATCTCTCCGGTCCAAAGTTTGTGTATTCCAGCAGCCCAAGATCATGTGTGACCTTGGCCAAGCACAGGTTGTTGACTAGGACACTGCGGAGCAACTGAACAGTCGAGAAAAAGGCACAACAGCACTTGAATGAACGCTCCAATATGTGTACATATTGCCTCACACACGTACACCAGAGCACTCTCAGTTTAGAGCACACACGATACATGGCAAGCATATATTAACCACTACTTCCACACAATCTTCATCCTCTTCGTTTTCTTGTTGGAAGTAGATCTGTACTCTACTGGACAGGCTGGAACCTCTCTCTGTGTTATAGTATGGGAGAGATGGCCAGGCGGGCTTACCGACAAGTGTCCTTCGTGATGCTCGGGAAAGTGCCGGTAAAGGTACTGTGACGTGGCAAACTGCAGCACGCTGTCACCGAGGAACTCCAGACGCTGATTGTGACCTCTGCCAGGGAGAGAACGCAGCGCGTACAGAGAACATAGAGAGGCGATCAGGGTTTTTGCAGAATTGTCACGGCCAGAAGGCGATTTTTGACATCTACGATGGAGAGAATGTGCATGTATGTACGTATGTATGTATGTATGTATGTATGTATGTATGTATGTATGTATGTATGTATGTATGTATGTACGTACGTATGTATGTATGTATGTATGTATGTATGTATGTATGTATAACCCATAACCATTCAGGTCGTAGGGGCGCCACTGCCACGTGTGTCATAGGGCAGCAGCATCAAAAAAAACAAAACAAACAAACAAAAAAAAAAGACAAAAAAGCATAGTGCAAACAGCGACAATCAGGTTTTTTTGCAGAATTGCCAAAGCCAGAAGGCCAGGATTGGAGGCTATAAACCTGATCAACAACAACATTCCACCAGGTAGGCAACTTCGGGAGAGCGGTTACACAATGAGATTTAATTAATCGCTGGGAATTTTTAGATAGAAAACATGGTGAAAATGGGGCACAAGTTATGCGTTAAGAGTCCACCAACTACAATGCGTTTCAAAAATATAGACGCATGATCAAAAAAAGAAAAGAAGTTATGCCAGCATCACTGCCACATAACATCTGTGACCAATTTGTGCATTGTGCACAAATTTTTCGAAATCGGGTGTTTGCTATACGATCACTTAAAAATCTATTTCGTGAGTAATTGGGGGAAGAACCTGAGCAACGTTTCGAAAAAAAGTCTCCAAAAGCTCCAGCCAAATTTGAATTATTTCAAAAATGCCATACGTTTATATTTTTGAAATGGACTGTAGACGAGATTGTGAACAGTCAGACGAGCACAAATCTATCACCGAACTGACGAGGAGTACTGAGACTTGTGCTCCACTGTTTTCCATGTTGTCAATTTAATATTACCTTGGTTCACCATCTGAATTTTTTTTAGATCTTGCACAATTGTACACAGACATACCGTTAAGTCTTGTATAAAAGCCGCGGCTTCTATGACTTTCTTGGTGAAATTTTGCAGGCTTCTATATGAGACAGGCTTCCATACAAGACAGGTATTTCTATGTATGTTAACACTAAAACCAGGCTTATGTGTGATTTGATGGGCCCAAAATTGCGGCTTCCATCCGAGGGCGGCTTCTATTCAAGTGCGGCTTTTATACAAGACTTTACGGCATCCGCACCACCACACATCCGTGAATTCGGATCACTTTGGAAATGATCGGAAATGCGCGGTCACGCAATTTTCATCCGTGTACGGCAACGGCTGTTTACGGCGCTGCATCTGCCACCCTGGTACAATCAGGCATGGTGTTGGCCTGGCACGAGCGAAACTTCTCGAAGCAGCTGGCTGGCTGTGTTTCTCAACACAATCGTAAGCCGGTGGTAATGCGGATATGTGTAAGCTTTACTCACAACGACGACCAACAGGCATATCAACTGAGTCACAACATTACCAGCATTCCCCAGACTACAGTCCATTCAGAAAAAGATGAGCGCTGGCTCTGGACAGCTCCCGTATGTGGCGAATTTGTGGTACGCTGTGCAGTGCCGTGAGATTCGAAACTTGAAAAAGGGTCCAAAAAAGGTACCTCGACCGGAGTTCGAACCGCAAATGTACTGTTATGCAAGTGGAGTGAATGGCCTGGATTTTCATGGTTTTTCCCCAATTCAGTGCTTTGGGGGCAAAACCTGGCCAAAATCCTATTCTTGTTATGGCTTGCTTTTTGGAGAAATAGACTTCAAAAACACAATTGGAAGAGCATTCCGTGGGGGATTGCCAAACAAATTGAGACGAAAACTCAAAATTTAACCCGTTTATGGCCAAAAGCTAGGATATCATCTTTTTCTGAATGGACTGTAGTGTCGACTGCCTTAGGGCGCGGTCACACATGCACTGGGATTCGCTTCGGCGACGAGGTTCGGCGGCAGCGAGCCTGGTGTCGCTCCAGCGAAACCACGTGTGTATGGTCACACATACAAACAGGGCAAACTCCTACTTTGGAGGGAAATGAGAGTAAAGTGGACTGTGGTGCATACGGTACGGAGAAGAGACGAGGTCAATGAATATCTTGCACGCATTTTTGTTGCATGGACATCATACGCATACAAATTTCTCGTAGCAACTCCATATACAGTAGACTGCGGTGTTTTCCGCTGAAGCGAATCCGCAGAAGCGACAGTCTCGCTTCGAAAATTTTGGAGGAAGCGGATTGGAGTTTCCGCTGAAGCGGAAGTTCCGCTTTTCGCCGTTGCCATGCCATTTTTCGCTCCTGCGACCTCGCTTCAGCGTATACGCTACTTTCGAGTGCATGTGTGACCGGGCCCTTACCCGGTCAGATTGTTGAAGCCGACTTGCGGATGAGTCATGGCCTTTGCCAACAGGCGAATGTGACGGAAACGAATGCCGGTACGCTCCTCCAGCTGCAGCAAGTCCTGTGAACGAACACGTGT